CTGACTACAAGTCCCTTATCAGGAAGAGTATGATTATAGGAGTTATTTTCTCCCACTTTATGGGTTGCCATTTTTCACTTCTTGACGGTGTCCTTTGAAGCACAAAAGGTTTTATTTTTGAAGCTTTTTACATTAAGGTGTATATTTTGAGTTAATTTTTGTGTAATTTTTTGTGTAAAGTCTATGTCTAGGTTCATTTTGTTTTTGCACATTGCTTACGCACAATTTGTTGAAAAGACTATCCTTTTACCATTGAATTGAATTGGCACCCTCATTGAAAATCAGACAATCATAAATCTAAGAGTTTATTGCTGGACTCTCTTTCTGGGTTTTTTGTTTTTTTGAAACAGGCTTTGACTTTGTTGCCCAGGCTTGAGTGCAGTAGCATGATCTCGGTTCACCGCAACCTCTGCCTCCTGGGTTCAAGAGATCCTCCTACCTTAGCCTTCCAAGTTGCAGGGACTACAGGTGCATGCCACCACACTTGGCTGATTTTTATATTTTTAGTAGAGATGGGGTTCCACCATGTTGCCCAGGCTGGTCTTGAACTCCTGGGCTCAAGAGATGCACCTGGCCTTTTGGCCTCACAAAGTGCTGGGATTACAGGCATGAGCCACTGCACCCAGCCAATACTGTATGTTTAAAGGGGAAATTATTTTATGGAATCTTGGTTTCATAGCTGGCAAAGTACATAAAAATTAAATATAGTAAATTTATTACATGTGGGCTATTCGCTATAAAATGTTTTCCTAAATTTTAGTAAGTTTATGAGGAAGGCTTATACTGAGCAGTTTTGTAATATTTTTAGTTTTCTGTGGAATAAGTAAGATGAAATGGATAAGAAATTGGTTGAATAGAAAGAATACATGAGTAGAATGAAAATATTGTTAGAACCTGTTTAAAGTTATGACTATGTAACTTTACATTTTGATATTTATGTTGAGTTTTGTTTAATGGGTATTGTTGTTACATTCTCAGTGGATTACCGTTTATTCCGTATCTGGATAATCTGCCAAACTTCAGTAGATCAGTTGATGGACCAATCAGGCTGCCAATTGTGGATAAGTACAAGGTACCCAAAATATTATTAAAGAAATTGGGTTTCCTGGGAGGTGAAATCATTGTTGTGCATTTTGTTTCTAATTATGAAAACTTTATTTCATTATTATTATTTTTTTGAGATGGAGTCTTGTTCTGTTACCCAGGCTGTAGTGCAGTGGCACAGTCTCGGCTCACTGCAACCTTTGCCTCCCAGGTTCAAGCAATTCTCCAGCCTCAGCCTCCCAAGTAGCTGGGACTGCAGGGATGCACCACTGGGTCTG